CCCCCCCGATTCTGCTTTGCGGACATTTTCCACTCTGCGGCTATTTTTGTCTCTCCCCCCCTGTTTCTACTTTGCGGACGTTTTTTTTCCAACAATTAAGAAAAAACGTCCGCAATCAAGAAGACGCGCTCTTTTCTACATGCAAATCAAAACAATTAAAAGAAAAAACAATGATCCCGATCGTCTGACGTTGTCCTTTGAGAAGCAAAAATAAGTGAATATGTGCATTGGGTATTTTTCCTCCGCATCATATCTGTTCTGTAAAGAAAGACGAAGAGCATGACTCATCACAAGGACAAAGTATGCGAACGGAAAGCGGTGATATGGAGCGCATATTGGGAACAACGAAATTCCATACGATTATTTTTCTTTCGGATAATTCCAATCTATAAAAAAGAACATGATGCAAGATATCCTTATAAATATAGGCACTTCTTTTGTGTTACTTTCACATCAATCCCTCTTGCAAGTGCGAATATTAGACATTATATAAGGTAAGACATTGTGCGTAGTTAAACAAAGAATATTCATTGATTTATTATTTATTCATTTACAACAACATGAAACTCAATGTTATTCTTCGTAGTGTGATATTAATTCTATTAATCGGATCTATAACAGAAACAATAGCTGGTCCACTTGCATATGCAGCATGCATTTCTACGTGCTTAGCAGCACTTAGTGCGGGAGGATTAATAGTTGGTGCGTTAGCAGGTGGCGCAAGCTGTCCTACGCTTTGTGCACCAGCTTTAGTAGCTCCGACACCCTGATTCTTCGCAAGTAACTCGAAGTGCAACCGTTCACACATTTATTCTCCAAAAATCTTAATACCACCACGTTAAATAAACCTTAAAATATCAAAACTGTCAATTTCTTTTTAAATAAAGTCATTTTATGCGAAAAACCCGCCCATGAACTATCAAGCTTGACTCTATCTGACTTGTGGGTGTGCTAGTTTCGATTACTCTCTTCTAATCAATCACATCCACACCTGGCATCGCAGCGGCTCTCTCAAAAAATATAGGAATTCCTATATAGGATAGGTCTAAAATATATAGGATCGCCCTCAACTATATAGGAAAAATATAGGATGACAAATTGATTCCAGAAAA